GAGAGCGTTCCCAAATTTGGGCTCGCGGCCCGGATGATGGACTGCTTTAGAAATAGGGGAACGATTTGAAACTACGATGGGCCTTACAATATCAAACTCTTTCCCAACAATATTGAGACAAATATCAGGCGGTTCACGATCGTTTTATATTTTTTGGACATCATTTAACGGTTCTTTTTCTTGTTGTAAATAATGCCTACATGGCGTTCCCATATTTGGGTTAGCGTTCCCAAACATGGGAACGAAAATGCGTTCCCGAAAATGGGTACGCTTGACCATAGTTCCGTCTACTGATATGCTCGCTCGTAAAATCTGTTCGCACAGATTTCAACAGATTGGTAACGTTATTGAAAAATATTACAATAGAGTTATGTGAAGATAGCTTCAAATCACAAACATGTGAAAAAAGTATTTCCATTAGAAAATCATGTAAATACAAAACAATATTCAAATACCACACAGATACTAATGTGTAGGTCATTACAACAGTTTGGTAATTTGTAATGCAATTTAAGGTATAATCATACAAAATTTTACCCTAATGATGCTGCAAGAAGTCCAACAGCTCCAGTTCCAGCGCCTAATTCAATGGCTCTTGCACTGTGAATGTTTTTGATCAATTGTGACGCATAAGCTACCAAACCACCATCACAATCATCAGTTTTCACACATTCTACAGAATGCACGAAGTCGATGTACTTGCTCAAAACAAGTGCGGCGTCCCAAACCACACATCCCACATCACCAATGTAAGATTGATGAATTTTAAGTTCACTTTTTGAGCTTTCAACTTCGACGACTCTCACAAACGTCTCCTCGACCAAGGAGGCCGCCATGATTGCCGTGATGATTGCCAACAACTATTTAAATACCAGCAATATTATTTTATATGATTTTTCGTTATCGAGTATATTCTGGTGCTAATTATGTTTGAAAAAATTCTACTCACTCATAATTTAATATTATTTCTATTAAGAAAATCGTCTCAAAATCAACGTTGAGATTAAAATTTTGATTTTAAAACAACTTGCGAAGCCTTCTGCTGGAAGCGGCTGGGAAGCGGAAGTGGAACGTCGATTGTCTAATTTGTTTACTTCGTCTAATAAATAAATAAATACACCGCCTTGATATAAATGGTATTTCATATTTCATTGCAAGTGTTTTGAGGGCCTTGATTGTAGGCATTGGTATATACCGGTATATACTTGTGGTAGTGATATGCCGTGTCACAGCTCCGTGTAGTCTTCGGCATTATCATGCCGAAGACTCTTGCCATACCTACCTGTCATTTTCATGTTTAAGTTTTTACCGTGCTTTACCCAGTGGCGGATCCAGGGGGGGGGGGCAAAATGGGCATTTGCCCCTCCCAAACGGCATAATTTTAACAACGCCTATGGACGAGGCATGGAAAGAATCGATAAATTGTTATGGTTTCCCCCCCCCCCCCCCCTAAAAAAAAACTCTGAGCTGGATCCGCCACTGGCTTTACCTAGGTCAAACTTAGGTCCTAGGTTCGTCACTGGCGGCAAACTGGCGGGCTGGCCGCCTGGTATACCATTGTGAACTGGGACATTTCATTATTCATGATTTGTGAAGTTCGGCCAACGAATTCACACTAATGCCAATGCAATAGCAGCTGTTGTCGAGTGGTTTTGACCTTTGTTTTTGCCATCTCAATTTTTCTCATTAGCCACGGTGCAATATCTCGATATACGGTGACGAAGTCGCTGTAACGATTTAGAATCATGTCTTTAGTTCTCTGAGTTGCTTCGTACCACCCACGACTCACGAGTCGTGCTTGACCCGTGACCGACCAATGAGAATGACCATGGCGCTCACACCCCACCGTGTTAACGACCCTGACCTATCTGGCCGCCGCAGCTCCCCCCGCGGACGATGGCGGACGCGACCGAGCCGCCCTCGGAGCGGCCATTGCGGCTCTGGGTGCGTTCCGAGCCGTTCGTGTACGGCATTCTGCCTGTGATCGCCACACACAAAATATCAGTCAAGTACCTGCGCAAGATCGTGCAGTATGCGCGACACAAAGCGGCCGCGACCTTTCCGCAGATTCAGTACAGCATGTGGAGGCACATCGCGTGCAACAAATTGCAGCTGGCCGAGGACCTGGCCCGGCTGTACTTCGACACGTTCGAGCTGCTGCAGGAGCGGCCGGCCGAGCAGCGCCGCCGCTGGGACGGCGAGTACGCCCGCTGCGACGACGCCAAGGAGCGCGAGCTGTTCGCCGGGCAGCGACATGTCAACCTGCTGCAGTTTGTCGCCTACCTCTTCATTCAGGTGGGGAACGGTGTCGGTAAAATGCTAACACGTCTACCGTGGTCCGTTTCAATTGAGCCGATCTGATTTGGAGACCGCCCTTTTCCAGATCCGAGATTTCAGATCAATGTCATAACCTATGACTGGTTAGTCATGCCCTCTCGTGCCGCGGAATTTGACCCGTGTCCTTCCTCTCCCGGCCTCGGCAGAACCTCAGTCACAGCGGCAAGAAGCAGCGGCTGGGGTCGGCGGTGACCCCGCCCGGCTCCGACACGGAGTGGCCGGCGGCGCGCGCCGAGCCGCCTGAAGCCGGTGACCGCCAGCATAAGCAGCTCGAAGAGCATCAGCACCTCTCGTTCGTCCAGACGCACCTCGCCTCACTGGTGGAGGTTGGTGAGACAACAGCTAAGCCACAGCTATACGGCTACCAAAGCTCAGTGACGATGTTTCTTCTCAAATTCAGACCGTCTCCCCGACGACCAGCGGCGACGACAGCCGGGCGGTAGCGGGTTAGTGCGCTGCTGTCTGCCCGTCCCCTGCCCAGGGCGCGGCAGTAGACGGGTTAGCGCGCCTCTGTCTGCCCAACAGCCGCCGAGCGGTTACGACCGTCTAATGGTGGCAAGACCACCGGGCTTTGGCCCGCGGCGCCGGCGCCGCCGCTGCCGGTCGTAATCAGAGCTATTACACCTGTCCCTGCAGTGAGCTGCGAGATGATTTGCTCCATGAGCCGGCTCTTGGCAAGGCGGTGCCGCCGTGATGAGTTTTGTGCAAAGGTGGTATTTTCATTGCTATTACGGAGTTATTTATTAGGTTATCAAGTAACGTGATAAAGCCGCATAGTTGCAGACGCTTTGCATTTTGCATTTTCCCGTTGTCCGTAGATTAATAAGCATGTGTGCTTGCATTCTAAACAATGTGGACGAATTTGTCAGTCCTAGGGACGCTGTCGGTCTAAGTGAGTTCGCGTTGTAACTGTGTAGATGGCAGAAGGTGCCGCTGACCGGTGTAGGGCGTTGCCGACTGTTAGGGCGCCGCTGACCCGCGGTGGCCGCTGTCCCCAGGTGCTGGGGGAGGGCTCGCCGCTCGGCTCAGTCGGCGGCGACACCCTGGTGTGCCGCGCCGTGGTCGAAGCGCTCTCGATCCTCATCGACCTGGACACCGGCCGGCCATCCTCTCCGCCACGGACCGGGGAGGAGCGCCCATCCGCCACCCTGGCCTCGGTGGCTGCCGAACCGAGCCGCGCCAATCAGGTCAGTGCTGCCATTTCAGGGTTTGCCCACCGTCTCCCCTACACTGTTACATTTAAACGTATACGTCGTACTTAATCTCAGCCACCGTTAACATGTAATTCAGTGTCATCCGATTCAAATGTTTTAAACTATCAGCTGTCACAATGCGCTACAATGGGTGCAGACTGCGGAGTAATCGTATCTTCCCAAACAGCTGACGTGCTGTCATTGCTTTTAGACCGGCTACGTGCCCACGGCCGACGCGTACCAGCAGTCCCGCCTGCTGCGCTGGATCACCGGATCGCTGGGAGCCAACCCCTACGGTGAGAACACGATATGGTGGCCGCCCACTCGTGCAACGCTGTCGCTGAGTGCTGCGCCCGTCACCGTCACCAGGTCTGCGTTGAGTCTTACTCAAGGATCAGGTGCCTAAGTTTATACTTTATTCGGAGTTTCCTGAGCCTGTGTTTCCGTTTTGCCGTGCAGGTGTGGCGGCGTGCGTGTCGTCCGGCCGTCGACTGTCGTGGCCCAGCGCCACCTCCACCGACCGGCGAGCCGACCACAAGCGTGGCAAGATGGCCACCAACGCGCACGTGGCGCCGCCCGGCGACAAGCTGATCGTCACGTCGGCCATCCACAAGGAGACGGTGGCGCGCCTGTCGCCCACGCTCTGCGGCGCCACGCTGAAGCTGCACCGGTGCCACCAGGCGTTCCTCTACTTCCTCAGCCCGCTGCGCAACGTCTCCATCGACAAGTGCCACGACACGACGGTGGCGCTGGGCCCTGTGTCGGGCACGGTGCAGCTGACCGGCTGCCGCGCCGTCCGGCTGGTGGCCATCTGCCGCCGGCTGGTGGTCAGTGACAGCGTCGGCTGCACGCTGCACGTCACCACGCCAACGCGACCGCTGCTGGCCGGAAACCGTAACGACTCGCTGACGCTGGCGCCCTACCACACCCACTACCCGGCGCTCGAGGAGCAGATGCTGCAGGCCGGCCTGGGCGTGGTGCCCAACTTCTGGGACCAGCCGCTGTGTCTGGCGCTGGACGGCTCGGTGGGCGCGCCGCCCTGCTGGCGCCTGCTCGAGCCGGCCGCCTTCTATCCGTTCCACACACCATTCCCGATGGCGGGCGCCACGCGCCGCAGCCCGGGCAGTCTGCCGTACCGCTACCAGCGCGTGCTGCAGGAGCGCCGCGCCAAGACCGAACAGTGGAACAAAATGATGGCAGAGACCGGCCTCAACAAGGAGCAGATCGCCAAGTTCCAGGTGAGGGTACTGTGGACAGGCAGTGAGCTATTGACAATGTATGTAGTGGTCGAGGTTAAATTGTCCCTCTCCCTCATTTCATTGTGTCATTTCCGCGTCAGCATGCATCTCGAGCCCGTTTCCATGCCCTCATATCAGTTACCGTAAGTGCATTACCAGCTGATCGCTTTTAGGTGACACAAAAGTTGCTTTCATTCCGCTGTCATCGGGATGCTCTAAATCACATTTCGCATGATTGATTTATGTATATTTGTACTATTCGACAAGACTATTCTATTTGAATTGGATCCGCTATATCGTTATGTCTATCGTCCAGCATCGTTTGACTGAATTTTACGTCATTAATAGATACCGACGAGCCGTGCTGGTACCTGCACTTGGCCACAAAGCTCAGCTGCTGTCCGTTGTCTGTTTCGGTGATGTGCCGGCGGCGGTGTGGACATTGACGTGTTCTTCTCCCTAGGAGCTGCTGCGCCGCCGGTTCGAGGTCTGGCTGAAGGAGACGGGCAAACAGCGCGAAATCAACAGTCTGGCGGCCTGCAGGGAGCGCACGGCCAGGTACGAAAAGTACAAACAGCTGGCGGCGGCGGCGGCTAGCGGCGCGGGCGGCGGGGAGGGCGAGGCCCAGGACGCGGGACGCTGACCGGTCAGTGGCGGGGGTGAGACTGGGAGGTCAGTGTCGGGACCTGTTCCGGAGAGGCTTGCGGCAACTGAGGAGACAGCGCATGGACCAGAGACATTTCCGAAAGCAATCGGAGACGTGTGCGAAGGAATCAGCGGCCCATACCTCAGTCACGAGAATACATGCCTAATGCTAAACGAGATCCCTCACAACGAGACTATGTGATTGAATTTCCAGCGTCCAATGTGCGTCGAACTCCATAGCCAATGTTTGTCAAATATCTTGTGTGAGTGATAATATTGTTGTTTCATTCAGTGTTACGTGAGACGCGGTTGCATTTTCTGAAATATATTTTGAAAGCAAAGGTGCGGTGAATGCAGATCAGATTGAGACCTTAAAATGTGCGAGATTGGACACAATTATAGGAAGTATTTATTCGATTGGACAGCAGTGATGCCACAAGGATCGTAAAAAATCTCCCAAGACCCTCCATCCGTTTTGGACGGCGGTTTTCGGCGCACGAGGCACAATGGCCCTTCTCTGGCTGTCACGGGAAGTGGCAGACTCTTCAGCACGCAGTGGAAGCCGGAAGGGCGACGATGTCTAATATCTGCTTACCGGCGCTCTGGGTGATTTAGAAGCGCGTCCGTCACCCCCAGCACTCCAGCGGCCGTCGCCACTCAGGCTGGCGCTCCGATATTGATAATATCCGTCAGGGCGCAGCCTGGAGGCGGCGTATGGAACCGGATCAGGCCGCTAACCTGCAAAGGGCACAAATCCATGGGTACAATACAATTTGCGTGAATAAACATACACTTCAGCTGCTGATCTACAAAACCCCATCATATGACATCTCAAATTACATATCCTATTTTTTTTTTTTGCGCGGAGCCGAACCCAATAAGAAACCAAACCCAAGAGACGTCGCGTAGAGGGTGTTTTAGCGCTGAGGATGGATTACTAGCCAGTGCTGACGAGGGATAAATAGATCGTATCTGCACGCCCTAGTGATGAAGCGAAGAAAAAAGTATGATAGGCTTCTTTTCATTGACTTACCTCTTCAGGCTCTGACGATGGCTGAGTCAGCGATCGATGACTGCCTCACGTCATGGCTCCGGCAGAATCACCAGGAAGCTTGAGTCGCCCCTTTCGCACTTCTATACGAAAAAAAGACAGCCCGAGTCCGATATCTGCCTGGAAACCGAAACAAGTGTTGGGGATAAACCGCAATAAATGCTTCTGGCCAAAAATGACCAAGACTGCAATACACATAGGTCGTAGGAAGATCATAGGAATGATAGTAGTAGCCATTCCTCTGTAGATAGGTCATAGGAATGGCTACTACGCTGGCTGTCTTAAATAACAACTATGTAAGCTTTCGCATGATTTGCGAGATCTTATAAGGTTTTATTACGGTTTTCTTGTACTAACCTGCATTCTGCCGGCAGTCTGCAGTGCAGTGTCACTCGAACCAGAAGCTGACGGAGCAGCTGACGCTGAGGCTGCGCACGTAGTGCCACCAGCCGGGCGGCATGTAGAGCAGGTCGCCGGGCCCGAGCTCCACCTCCTGGTGGCGCGCGCCGGCGAACGCCGGGAACTGCTCCAGGTCCGGCCGCTCGGCGTCCACCCGGCTCGTGTTGTGCAGCAGCGCGGCCTCGTGCGGGTACAGGCGCGGCGTCTCCTCCGGCGCAAACACCTGCACAAACTTCCTGCCGAGCACCTGCACCAGACAGTTGTGTTTGGGGTCGTGGTGGAGCGGCGACACGGTGCCGGCCGGGCCCAGCCAGATGTTGGTGTGCACCGCGTCGCCGGCGCCGACCCAGCAGTATTCGGGCGTCGGCACGTCGGCGCCCAGCTCGGGGATCTGCTCGAACAGCTCGTACTGGGCCAGGTAGCCGGGCGGCGCGCCGGCCGCCGGGCGGCGCACGTGCTGCTCGATGAACTGGCCCAGCGTCATGAGCCGCTGCGACCAGCCGGCGTCCGTGTAGCGGCCGCCCAGCTCGACGGGCACGGTCCGGTGGCCGGCCGTCCGCTCCAGGCCGGCCAGCGTCCAGCGCAGCGCCGGCCAGTGCGACACGCAGCCGGCGAGCACGGCCGGCCGCCGGCCGAACACCTCGCGTACAAACCGCTCCACGGAGGGACACGGCAGCCGCGGCACCGGCTCCGAGATAGGCGGACACGCATCTGACCTGCTGGCCAGCTCGTCACAGACTGCTGCTGTGGAGGCTGGGTGGGTCAGAGTGTTCTGAATGCATGAAGTTAGCTCTTGGTGACAGCAGGATGCCACTTTTGTAAGTAAATTGTCCAACACTGGCTTACCCATTATCAGGCCCATGTCACAATAATACAGAGCATCTTTCACAGCCTGAACATTAGAATGTGAGGATTGCAGGTACAAGTTCAAGTGATATGTTGAGCGAAACAAGGCTGCGTAAGAATACAGCACCCTCCACACATGTGGAACTTCTGCCCAATGACTGGTATTTAGTTCTTCCCAGCACCTTTCACTCAAAGCCTTGGCCATGCTTGGAAATGGACTGTCAACCTGGGCTAACATGATAATATAGTTCTCTCTTGCTTTGCAGAATATCTTAAATGCACCATTGCCAATCTTATCCAGCTCCTCTTCAGATATTTGGATGGCCTCCGATGTACAGGGTAGACTTGGGAGAAGTTCAAGTAGTTTGGAGACCATTTTCAATAATGATGACTTGCCTGAGAAAAATACAGATAGGGATTTTTGTCTCTTTAAGTTACACCATTTGACAGATACCTAAGTTATTGTTGACAGAAAACATGCATGATATATATAATGTCGTCACGTGTTGTACACAGTGCAGTAAAAAAAGAGTTTCCATCTAGATGTCCCTATTTGCTCCCTCTACCCCCACAAGACCTAGGTAGCTTGCTAGCCCCGGGCACTAAAGGGTCATACAACCATAAAAAATCATCACAAGTCCTATAGTATTCAAATTCAGCTTAGAAGAAGCACAATTGAATCTTTTGCGCCACAGATGAGCATATTGGACGCATAAAATGCTGCACCATCCGGACACGCACTAAATTGATGTCAGAAGCTCAAACAAGACTACAGACTACCCATTCCATTGATTTTCGTGGGACGTTTTTGCTAGCACACCCACTTCCATGCAAGGAATTTCGGCAAAATGTAGACATTTTTCTCCTGTCTCCACAATTTATGATAAAATGCAAAGTTGTATTCAAGGCTACACAAAAAGTTGATTTACAATGCTCATCTACATCTACAGCCTATCAAAAGCATAGCGGAATGGATGACGGCGACAAACTTTTGGCACTATTTGGATATGCCATCGCATAGAAAAAAAGAGACAAAAAACTTCCTGTGATCATTTGCAATCTCTTTATCACAATCACATCACAATCAAGTCTTCTTCAGCCACAATCACGCGACGTTGAACCGGCTCGGCCATCGGTTCATACCCGTGCTCTGCTACTGGTCGATACTGAAGTACACCTGGATGCCCCAGTGGTCACTGGGAAAGCTCTGCGTGTCCGTTACTTTCTCCAGGCCGACCAGACCAAAGTGCACGGGCGTCACGCGGCCCGCGTCGCGCAGGTACACCCGGTCGAAACGCAGCCGCGGTTTGAAGCGTCCCGGCATCTCCTTGTTGGTGTTGCGCTGGGTGTCCCATGTGAACTCGACCTCCCTCCGTCGGCCGCAGCGCTCCCAGAGGTCGGACACGCCCGCAGGCGGGCCGCCCACCGACTTCATCTGTGCGCAGAAACAGCGAGCCTGCAGATACTTCTTTCGAGAGGGAACATGCCATTGCATCACTGATAGCCACTTCCTCACAAGATTCGCATTTTATTACAACTAGGTACACATTGTCAAGGCATTGGCGATTTCCAGCACATACTGCTCGATATTCGGAAACATCTAAAAAGGCAAGATTCCAAACGAAAAGTAAATGCGGTGATAAAATAAACTGCCACTATAAGCAGTGTCATATGTCTGCGAATACAAAACTACCTCGTGATCCCTGAGGTTGAGATCGCCGGCGAAGATGGTCACGCGCTCGGGGCTCGTCGCGCTGACTCGGGAGAAGCAGTCCCGGAGCTGTTGCATCCGGGTATCAGAGTGCGCCTTTGTGGACTCCAGGTGAGTATTGAGCAGCGTGAGCTTCAGAGGCCCGATGTGTGCCTACAATACGCACAAATGCCATTATATAGCAATACCAATGTGTTTCGGCAAAATTACAAACAAAGTAACCAGTACAAACATGCACCTCAAATAGGTATACAGATATGCACAGATAACTACAGCTAAGGCTGAGCTAGACACGATAAATCAGGACACTGAGTAACACCGCGCATGAGGTATGGAGCAAGGTCTGGGTCCGCCAGAGGGTCGCGGCTCAGATCGACACCTTGTAGCACAAAACTTGCCCTCATTTCCTCATATATCTTTCTATACATTATAAGGCGAGTAGAGATTGAGCTGATGGATTTTGAGGGTGATGATGGTATGTCTTGGTGTCCGGCAAAAGAATGGGATGCTGATGGTGTGTCGTAGTCGTGGGTTTCAAGCGCTGGGGATGGTGGTGCTGTTGGGTTGGATTGAGCTGGTGATCGTGGCTGAGGGAGGGCATGGATGATATAACACTGGATTGGTGTCTCGTGGAAATTAACATTGGGATCCGCGACATTGGGATCAGGCCTGCCATCTAGCGAGAGAATTATCGTAAGTTAGGAGCAAGCCGAGTGAACGCCATCTCTCAGCATTATGACACACGTGGGTGTGGTGTGTTAGTTGGCTTGAAGTGCATATTCCCACGAGTTGGAGGTAATCTTACTGGACTTGAGACGATAAAAATGTCTTAAATGCTTGAAAGCCAAAAATGTCAAGCAGCATTTAGGTATCAACGAAAATAAAATGCGTAAGACGGTGTGTATTGAAACGCCCGGTCCCATCGGCTTGTATGACCTTTTCAATGGTCATTTACTCACAATGTGTACAGCAGTTTGACAATATGTCATACATATTTGGTAGGCTTATTCCTTCTTCTCCGAATTTCGCTCGATTTTCTTCATCTTAGTTAATTGTTACGGCACGTGCCACGTGCCAACTTAGGGGTGTCGAAATTGTTCCACATAAAGTAACTCCGCAATGGCTGGGCCCATTACAGTAAAACTTCGTTAATAGTTAGGCACCCAGTGGCCAATGCATTTCCATGTGTCACTATGAGGGTGCTACTGCACGTGCGCACATGCGGGGTGCCGCTTCCATATCTCAAGAACAGCTGGGCGGATAACACTCAAGCTTTGTACACAAATGTCACATCGATGCTCGCACTGCATTGATCAGTGCTTACATTGGTGCAGAGTCGTAAAGAAAACGAGGAAATGAGATGCGTGGTGTTTATGCCTTTCTGTTCCAGCAGATGATTGATCTGCAACAGGAGATCCTTGTTTGTGAAGGCTACGTCTTCCTTTTCCACCCCTTGTTTAAAATAATATTAACAATGTACGTACGAAGAAGATCACACATCAAAGTTGTTTTAGGCGGCTATCTTGGGCCAGGGCTGCGGAGTTGAAGTCAGAGCCAGCGGTTCAGTTCCGACTCGGAGTCGTTTATTTTTAAAAGCTGTAGTCGGAGTATGAGTCGAACGTCACCGAAAAGTCATCGATTCCACAGACTTACCAGGGCTGCAGAGTCGGAGTCAGAGTCGGAGTCTGTGTGAATCGACAGTTCTGCCCGGAGGAGTCGGAGTCGATATTTGGATACCGGAATCGGAGTTGGAGCCAAAGTCACTGAAATTTCATCGACTACGCAGCACTGGTTGGGTCCTTCTCAAAGAGCGTCTTGAATGACAAATTGAGCGGCAATGACGTTAGCAATTCCGTTCAACTTTTTCATTTGACTTATAGATAGTACTTAACGTTCGTTTTGTTCTTTGATCGGGCAATTTGTTTGATTTAGGCCAAGTAAAGACTCATGTGAAAAATAGCGAAAACGACACGTGCTGGCGAAGTCTCCAATAACTCCCTGTTTCACGATTTAATGAGGAAATAACATGGAACTGCTTATCTTATTACTGACGCTGCACATAAATCTATTAATTTCTTCGCTTTTACTGACATATATAGACGTAACCTTTTGAAAAATAGCACAACAAGCCCGCTACTACACCACACTCCCGTGTGTCACAATGCTAATCAGCGGCGTTCACTCGGCTTGCTCCTAACTTACGATAATTCTCCCGCTAGATGGCAGGCCTGAGCTCAATGTCGCCAAAAACTGCGAAGACACCAATCCATTATTATCTCATCCATGGGGAGGGTGTGAGAGAAGTGGGCCTGAGTGTTACGAGTGTCATGATAAGTCTGTTGTTTCGGTGTATGATGTGGAGCTGCACGTGGTGGTGAGGTTTGGTTGGCGGGGCTCATGGAGGAGGAATGATCAGCAGAGCCTCTTATTGCTACCGCGTTTCCGCGGATGACGGCAATAGAAATTTTTTTGCCATAACCAGGCCGTCTCGCGCCTCTCGCCGGTTACTGCTGTGATCCTACGGCCGAGTTCCTGCACTAGGTTGATGGCACTGGGGCCAACAACGCCCGATGTTTCGACCGCCAATGGAACGAAAAGGTACTGGGATGATAAGGAGGCGTACCGCTGCACCTTTCGATCCTCTGCGGCCCGGGCCGCTGATCCTGGTTTTATCGCCGATTTTGTCAGGCTGCTTTCAGCAAAGTATCCGTGCATGTCGCGTCCCAGATCAGGCATTTTCCGCCTTTAAAAGGGAATGTGGTAAGCCCGTCAGGACGCTTGCCGTCACCTCTGTCAAGGCCAGTAGGCTCGATGACGGTTGGGATGCCAGATGCAGCGAGGCTGCGCTTCACCAAATCGTTCAGCTCGGCATGGCGGGGGAATCGACCAGCACTTTTGCTGCAGGATAAGGTGTGATGACCCAACCTGTCAACCGGGCGGCTGCATAAGCGACAGGCATGAGGCTCACATATAGCGGCGCCAAGACGGAGAGCCACTGCTATTCTTACGGATTCCGGATCCAAAAGAAGACCAAGGCTGGGGACCGGTACTGCTTGAAGCCATGCGGCTGTGTGAGGCTGGGTGGCGGCAAGTAAACGAGCTCTGTGGATTTGATTTGTTTCGCGGAGTAACTGTTTGTAGCCAGCCTCCGATGTCAGGTCGTCCCAAGCCCTCTGCTGTCCTGGCATAGAGGGGTCGGGGAGTGTTGCCTCACCGATTAAAGGGAGGAGTCGGTCAAGCGCAGGTTTCCTGGCCAGTGTGACATCATACATGTTTCCTAGATTGCAAAGAATTGACGAAACGAGAGGGGATGCCTCAGTCAGAGATGCTAAGTGACAGGGAAGAGCTAAACGTTCAACTGATCTAACGCCTAGACCCCCGTACCGCATGGGGAGGGAAGCCTGTGTCCAAGCTTCGTCTCCTATACTGACATTGCATATGTCTGTGAGCGCCGATCGCGTAATGGCGTCGATGGCCTGCAGTCCTGTGCTATCTAAGTACATTGGACTGGATCGCAGGAGATATTGCAGTCGGGGCGCTGCTAAGTAGTGGGTTAAAAAGAATAAGGCCGTCTGGGTGTCTAGGGAGAGGATGCGTTTACAGAGTGTTTTAATTACATCTTTGGCGTTGTTTGTGGCAGTGGCTATGCTTGAATCATGAAGAGGTGAGCCCAGTAGGGTTAGGTTGTGCAAGGGAGTTTCTGTTATACCGGGAAGAGCACTTATAACTTCGTCGATGGTGGTGGCGCATTTATCAGATAACCGATTACCCAGAAAGGAGAATTCACATTTTGAACTGTTCAATTCGAGGCCGAGCTCGGGTAATACCAATAGTCACAGACTTCTCTCTCTCTCTCTCTCTCTCCCTTTCCCGAGAGAGAGAGAGAGAGAGAGAGAGAGAGAGAGAGAGAGAGAGAGAGAGAGAGAGAGAGAGAAAATATGTGCCATAGTCCATAATGTATATAATAAAGTCAATACGATAATGATACAGTAGTAAAGCATGGCATTTTAGTTGCAGACATTCTGGCGGTGATATTTGAAATGGGTGCTCGCCAAACTTGACAATGATTTGGCGAGCTCTGTGCTGCACCCGTTACTTTGTGTCCTCAATGAACTCTTATTATGACACTCAGCGGCAATACTTTTATATCCGTCTTTATGCCAACTGGCCCAGACGCCGTTTTGTCGCAGCCTCACCTCCACACAGAGGAGGTTGCGCCCCATGGAGGTGTGCGCGTACTCGATGACCCGGTGGCCGTCCGAGTAGACGCGGAACTTGCGCAGCAGCGTGGCCGTGAAGTAGCCGCGGTCGGCGCCCGCCGAGAACAGCTCGTACTGCGGCAGCTTGGCCTCGATGTACAGGTACGTGTTCGGCGTCAACTCTTGCAGAAAGACGATATCCGGAGCCTCACTGCGAGCCAGGCAAACTGCGATAAAGAGCATGGAGAACTCAACTCAACTCAACTCATTTATTTTAACAGACCAGACAAAGTAAAGACACACAAAACATACAAATAGGATTGGTGCAAAAGCCTAAAGCTTAACTCAAGGCACCTCTCCACATTCAATAGAACTTAACAAAACATGACACCGCCGGGATTAACATAATACACCAACATAACTATAAATTAAATGAAAGGCGAACATAAACAGGTGTGTGAGATTACTCCTCCGCTGAGTCAGCAGCCGCCCCCGCCGCCCGCCGCAGTGCCATCGCCCTGACCACGAAGTCCTGGAAGAGCGCCGCGGCCTCCCGGCCGCCGTCAGTGCTTGTGGTGATACTGTCTCCGTGTATTAAATTGTGGATTAGGTCTCTTCGAGGTAAATTTAGAATTTGGTTACCTAAGACCAGTGAAAGCTGAGTGAAAAGGTTAGCTCTGACTTCCTGATAAAGAGGGCATGATAAAAGAAAATGGTGTATTGTTTCTGGTTCATTGTGACAAACGCAATGAGGGGTGGAGAGTTTCTGGAGCTGATAGAGATTGGCATTTAATGGGAGGCTTCCTGTCCTGATTTGTGTATGGAATGCGTTGCCGAGTTTTGAGCCAAAAGAGAAACTACACGGGTTGAGTCAGGAAATCTTCAACAGTAAAAGGGAAATGTCTTACAAGCTGAAATCTCAACTCACGTTTCAATTATCTTACAGACGGCTTTCATCCTCTTCTTGAGACTTCTGTCGTCCAGGCCATCTATATTCCAAGTGATAAAGGAGAACCTCTTGGGCGGGGTGGCGGTCAGTTTCGGCCTCGAGGTGTCTGCACTATCAGAGCTATCGCCGTCCGATGCCCTGGGCCTCTTTCGGTCATTCTCCAAGGCTGATGCGGCCGCATCGCTGGCGATTTACACACAGGCGTCATTGAAAAAGTATATATGCAAACTGAGTTGACATATTAATGCATATCAATGTTGACCATCAATCAATCAATATTGTTCAATCCATGATCAATTCAGTTGGATATCGACATAAGCATCAGTCAGGGTGCGAAAAGGTCATCATTAAGTAGAGTGATGGGTACATGTCTCCATACAATTCCACTGATCTTCTCGCGGATGGGTCCAGCTCGGACTAACTATATCCATCAGGCGGTAGAGTAGGGGTCGAGGCCCAGGGCCAGGGCGTTTGCAAAACCCTCGGTCTACCGTTTGTTCAGACTTTGGAAATATGCCCAGTGATGGTTACCCTCATGGAAGTGCTTACTCGATGGTAATGATCGCTGATGCCTCCGAACTTCCAGGGACGACGTGCACACCACCGCCGGTCGTTCGGGCTTCGAAATACGAGTTCAGCGACCTCTGCATGCACACAACCAGCAGGTCAATAACATTGCTGATCAAGTGTAATCTTCAACGAAATAAACAATCTTAAAACAATCCTCTTAACCCTATTCCTGGCGGGGGGGCCTTTAAGGCCCCCCCCTTCAGGTTTTTCTTGTGCCATTGTCAAACGCCGCAAGACTGAAAGCTCATACTCGGTGACTTTTTCTAAACATTCATTGCGCACATTTTGACAAAAAAAAGTTGCCGGGTCAGGTCAGGTCAGGTCACCAGAGGCGGTTTGGTGACCCCACCTCAGAAAAGTTTGCAATCACGCCAGAGCTAGAGTTTTTGACCGATCAATTTCTTCTCTTCAGGTTTTAGTTAGGGTACCAGTATGTGCAATTTGTATATCTCAGAATTTTCATATCTGTGACCTGAGGTCAGGCCAGACTCGTGACCTTTACATTGCAAGCCTATGGGGAAAATATTGAAACGCCTCCTGCTTCGTGTAAACGAGTCAAAACCACCCAATTCTTTCAGTATTATGGAAGATTATCTCATCGGTGATGATCCTGGTGCCGCTAATTGACAGGGGCACCGGCAAAGGTCATCTGAGGTCATGTGACGTCATAAATCGTTTTTCTGTCAATAAATCACATGATGGTGCTAAAGACTTGTAAGTGGTACCAAACTGCTCGCCTGGTCAAGGCCCGTCGTTTGGTATGCAGCATGACCATACCCCACAACCTCATTGATGAATGACCTGACCTTGACCTCAGGTCAAATTTCAAATTGACCTGTGAAGGTCATCACATACTTATTTCGCATCGCCTCGGCGAGAGCAACAAAAAATGTATTGGTTTTATGTCTCTATGTTTCTTAGTTTAAAAGTTAATTCTACTAAAACTAAAACTAATTCCAAAACATTTTATCGTTGATGACCTCTGGTGACCTCAATATTGACCTGACCTGAAAATGTTTTATGTAAAAGTTGTAGATCTTTAAACGACCTATCAAACGCCGTTTGCCGTTCGTCGCTGCGATGTGTAGTTTTTGAGATCTGAAGGGGGGGCCGAATCGGCCCCCCCGCCAGTTTCTTGTCCCGACGGAGCCCGCCAGGAATAGGGTTGAGCATAACTGGTGGTGAAATCTTACAGAAAGGTCCCAATCGTGATCTTGCAGGAAAAATTGGGCGCATGCCTCGTCCGTTCCGGTAATCTTGGCAAACTCGACACATCTGGCTTGACATGTGTCTGCATCGGGAATGTTGGCATCTTCCTCGTCACTCATTGCGCCAGCCTGTCGGGAGAAGTTGGGCGTGAAAACACATTGTACAACAGATCACGTGAAAACATACATTGTGCAACAGATCACATTACCATTGGCCATTTACTTCGTCCGCTCTGTGTAGTTCACGAAATTGTGTGGTATCTTATCGTCTCGGATCACCTGCCCGCAAAGACCAGCACGGATTGCAGACATTTGCGGCTACTGGGAATGTCACTGGTCGTCCCAACTGGGGCGTCCACCCGCTCTCTCCACTTGCCAGACTCGTCTTGAAGTCGACGGATGAGGGTTTGAAGTAGGTCAGTCGGTGACTAAGGAGACTGAGCGACTCACCCGCAACGGCTGTTTTCTCTCCGACAGACGCTGTTTTCTCTCCGAAGAGGACTTTAGGACTCAAGGCCTATAACACACGGGTCACGTAAAATTTGCACAGGATTAGAGTGTAGACTGCAAAGCTTGTCACCTCTGTCAGCCAAGTTCCGGGAGATGTTGATGGCCTGAAGAATGACGCCTAGCCAGGGAGTCGATTAGCTCCAGTCCTTCATGACATCGGTTGGCAGTCACGCTTACACAGGCACAAACACAGAGAACGTCTGCACCATGCCGCCTTCAAAGCTGAGCTATGACACAGCGAATGGTCTGTGACATGCCAACATGCATTAGGATTGAGGATGGTATGCCATTTTATTGCCTCACCGAGGCCCACCACACCTGTTGAGAAATGAGAATTGAGCCTGCCAAACTTTAAACATGTGAAGGTGTGACCTGGCAAAAGCCCTAAAGCCAATAGCCATTTTGAAACAGTTTGCCATTTTGCCATTTTGCCAGTTGCCCATTTCGCCAATTGCCCTTTTGAATCAGTTTATAGCTCGCTCACAGTGCAACCTGCATAGCAGGCGCCATGTTGGCAGCCGATATTTATAAGATATTTATAATAAACTTTCCTCTCCACGCCTGCCTCAAACCACCTGTTCTGGGCTGGAGAGTCACCTTTAACCACGGTGAGTAGGTAGCTCATCAGTAGCGGGCTCACGTGCGGTAGGGTGATCGTTTGCGCTGCTGCTTGGCCAATTCAGTGGCCCACTGTGACAGACTCAGTCCCGAAGGCACACCACTGCAGCAGGTATTGGTGCAGCATTTGAGACAAATTCGCCTCGACACTTCAGCATTGCGACCATCTGAGTTTATTGATGTTTCCATTCCATGGAAACCCAAAACACTGATGCATGTAGCACAATAAGCACACTGTAGCAATAAGCAATAAGCGCACTGTAGCGTCATCGTCAAAGTTTGATTAAATTTTACAGTCATGTCAGTAGGCGGAACTATGGTCAAGCGTATCCATTTTCGGGAACGCATTTTCGTTCCCATGTTTGGGAACGATAAACCCAAATATGGGAACGCCATGTAGGCATTATTTAAAACAAGAAAAAGAACCGTTAAATGACGTCCAAAAAATATAAAACGATCGTGAACCGCCTGATATTTGTCTCAATATTGTTGGGTAAGAGTTTGATATTGTAAGGCCCATCGTAGTTTCAAATCATTCCCCTATTTCTAAAGCAGTCCATCACCCGGGCCGCGAGCCCAAATTTGGGAACACTCTCGTACACTGGCGCTGCAAGCGTTCCTTATTATGGGAACGGCGTACCCAAAATTGGGAACGATTTCACCGACGCCTTTCACGGGCTCTTTTCATTAACAAGCATCACGACCAATGCCGCAAGTTATTGTTAACACAACAATCATAAGATGACCTTTCCAGCAAGACCGCCGCATGTTTCGCCGGGTCTTCTGCGCTCTTATTCCCGTCGATCCCGCAGCGGGCACGCCCCCCTCTGCAGGATTACGTAATTCACAACGCTCAGCGACGTTCAACAAGGTCTTCCATATCTATATCCACCGTCCGCGCCGAGGATGGAGGCATGTAAAGCACCTGTCTGTTTGACACTGATAGTTGACGAACACAAGTATCCAAAAATGGGAACGCTGAAACGTTTCACTCTCAAAACACCTAGTCCCAATAAAAATATACTTTTTTCCTTTCTTAATGAGTGTAAGTGGCAAAAAGCCTGGTAGGATGGGCACGAGAAATGATTGAAATCAGCATAAAAATTATAAATAAGCCACACAGAGCAACCTATATAAAAGAAATTCCCCAAAACGATCATGCTTAGAAAAACCGAAGACAAAAACCACGCTCATGACGCTCCTTAAAAACAACGCTAAACAGCTAGCATCCAAATAAAATATGTCTTTCAGGGCTGATAAAATACAGCTGAATAATTTTCGACCACTTAAACTGAGTTTACAACAGTAGTTCGGTAAAATCACGCACGTTCCACGCGGTCGTCCGCCTCGACACCAAATGTCAACAATATTACCTCAGGACTGTCCGCGTGTTGGCTTGCATATGTCAGCATCTGGTGTCGCTAGTATGAAACTTCATAACCAGGCGAAAATTATTATACTTGACCTTAAAATGTAAAAAACGCTTCATTTCCCTTAAAATTGCATGTTAAATGTAGAATAACCCATGTTTTCACCATTCCGCCATTTCAAAAAATCATTAAAAATATCATTTGACGGTCAATTTCCTTGTTCAACGGTCAGATTAAAGATAATTTTATAGACTTAGTAGATACTTAAATTAGCATGCACTTTTTTGAGACATAATGCACTAATGAGTTTTAGTGGGCGAACGGCTGAAAAATTACCTTCCGTTCTCATAAATGGGAACGCCCGTTCTCATATTTGGGAAATGGGAATGTTCCTATATTTGGATACTCATGACCATAGTTCCACCTACTGATGTGAGGCAATTGCTGTTACGGCTCCTTATGGGATAAATTCAAAAAGGCTTTAACCATTGTCCACTATATGACCAAACAACATCAAAAACATTGGAAACTGATTATGGAAGCTCAAACATCCCTAATAAAATATTGTGATTGTACGCCTAAAACATCGACGGATAACAAGTACCTATCGCAAAGATCTTGATCTTATTCATTATTCTTATTTGTTCTCTATATACCGTGATCTTATTGCTCCTTTGAAAATCATTTACCCGCGCTGTGCAATAATTTGATACCGAATTTTGTTCGCTCACAATTTTCTTCCATCAGCATGCCGCCATTTCTCGGGTTTTCATTGGTAGATATAACTTTGCCCATGCTAATCACCAATGAGATGCCGGCATTTAGCCTCCATATTTGGCAGCATCGGCAAGCTACTGATAAGATGAACAGTGAATAAGGGCCTGTTCCAGCGCCTCCAGTAGAAATTCTTGACTGGAGGCTCTACCAGAGGTTTCACTGGAGGCGCTGGAACGCAATCTGGAGATTTCTGGAGATTGGCGTCATAGATACCAAAAGAATGACAATTGTTCTCTCTTGAAATGAAAAATTTGATTTCAATTTTAGTAAAAAAGATTAACAAAATTATGGCAATGTAATTTTCTTTACATTCAAGTTGTAAAATTCTCAGTCAAAAGTTCTTTGTTTACATTCGTAATTGTCACATGTGCGCCATAATTGTAGACCAGAGCCTCCAGAGAAATTTGGACCTCCCAACTCTCTGGAGGCTACTGGAGGTTTCTGGAGCTTTGGCGAGAGCTTTCTGGAGCTTTCTGGAGGCGCTGGAACGCTCTCTGGAGGATTCTAGAGCTTTCTGGAGGTTTCTGGAGGTTTCTGGAAGCGCTGGAACAGGCCCTATATAGTTTAAATTTGGTTCAAAGATTGTCTAAATTACTAATAAAATGACGTTATGAGCCTAATAAATATAATTATGTCATTCGTTATGTATATCTGCTCTATGACACTCGAGCTGTAAAATTACCTTTCAAACTGTGCAGTTAACCATATCACACCTAGCTTCATCTTACAAAACCTCAACGAACAAACAAATATCAAATTTATACCTTTTTAACCTTATCTCGCCTGTGACGTCATATTAAATCTATCTGACAAGCAAATATTTTAAGTAGACATTTGAAGCAGAGAGTGTGACGGAAGCGGCGCTATAAGCGGCGCGGGAGTACGTTCAAAATTTTTAAGGGTGGAGACTATATATTGCCTTGGGGTGGAGACTTCCATTTCGCGTCTGGCTACACGCGTCTAACTCTTAGACGCGTCTAGCTGGACGGCAACTGCGTCTATCTGGCGACGGCTAAATTTAGGCGCGTCTAGCTTGGAAGTCTCCGTCCAACAGTTAGACGCCAAGTTAGACACCAACTTGGACGTCTGCTCAGTTAGACGCCAGTTGGACGTCAGTGGAAGTCTCCACCCTAAGTGTTTTTGTTGTTGAAATTTTTGATTACTTAGCTTAAGTTGTACTATCAGTAAATCGACGCTAATAGTCAAGTCTGACTGATGCGTCGTTAAACAACCAAGAAAACAAACAAACTATCAGTAAATTTTCACAATGGTGTGCTCTCTTTATTTGTTTTTAATTTTTTTTTCGGACCTGTCTCCAACGGGCACAGTTCCCAATTAAAGGAGAGAGCACCCACCTCACTGACCTGCTCCTCCTCCAGACTGGAAAACACTCATATACTACCAGTAGCGGCGCAACACCTTCAATTAAAGGGGGCACTGCCAACTTTTGGTCCCATTCTGTCCATTCAATGCCCGTAGGGCTAATGGTAAAATGCCAAAATCAAAGGGGGGCACGGTGCCCCGGTGCCCTCCCTGTTCCGCCGCCTATGTATACTACCCTGGATGCCCCCGGTCCCTGAGACCCTCTTGCGCTGAAATTTGGTGCAAGCAATTTTGGGCCTAAATTTCTCATGATTTGCGCCAAAAACTGGGTGCCTATATGTGCCAAAATTAAACCACTTATAGACAGCGCATGTGCATATCTACCGATCAAGGTTATTTCAACCAGACAGAGCATTCTGTGGCCTTGGATGCCCTCCAATATTTGTGCATCTGATTTCTGAATAAGTTTTTTTATTTCCACAAACTCAATGCCTGAATATGCATAGCGCACTGTAGCGTTGTGCCGTGAAACAAGGCCGGAGCTGGATGTTCCGGGGCCAAAAATAGACAGAGCAGTGTTTTTGAAGCTGTTGGGAGCCAGCGAAGGCCAGGCAGCGGAGCAGCATGTGCTCCGGCACATCAACCTCCTCTCGGCACACGGCGCAGAGGGCTGCGGGGCACCACTTGTCTGGGCACTGATGGCACGCCACGAAGTGGACTGCTGATTCAGTACACATACTGGAGTGGGTGGCCCCAGGGCCCACCCTCATCTGTTGCACCGGAGGTCGAAACGATGTCCTCTCGGTCCTCTCCGGGGATAGGGAGCAGCGGCGTGCTCCCGAGGAGTGGCTTGAATAGTGACTCGGACCAGTTGTCGCGCCATTGATGCGAGGCTGCACAATGAACCACCCTGGACAGCGTTTCAGGGCAGGACGGCCGCGCTCTCATTCCCCTCAATACCGCAGTGGGCAGGAGCCAGGAACCCACTGCAGTACTACTTAACGACGCTTGGCGATGTTCAACAAGGTCTTCCATACCTAGCTCCACTCCGAGGGTTGAGGCCTCACCTGGGCGGCCGCTCCTCCGCTGAGTAAACTCGGGGTGGCTCGTCAGTTCGAGCACGTGATGACCGGGGCGGGGACGTATCGTCCCGGAACCTCTCCAGAAGTCCAGAGCCGCCCACCGGCAGGGGGAATCTGCTGCTAGATTGACCAGCGTGCCGACCAAGTTCGGCGACAGGGTTTTCGCCAAAAAAAAAAATCTGCGGCCGCCCTGCGCCGTAAAATTCAGCTGCCGCCATGGGCTGAATTCGGCGCATGCGAAGTTATGCCGGACGTACGCTGAAATTTTCGGCGCAATCCCGCCACTACGCTGGACCTATTCGGCATAACATGTATTTTTTCCAGTCAGGCAGTCCTCCTCGTCCTATCCCCTTCCCCCAGGCTACGGCTGAAGTGGGAGCCTACCCCATGGCCTACCCCACACCTGTACCCACGGTCCCGACGCTGCGCACGCTGGGAGCTACAGCATACCAGCGGCGCGTTGGGTTTCCATGGAAACATAAACTCAGACGCCTCGCAATGCTGAAGTGTCGAGCCAAATTCATCTTAAACGCCCATGAACGCCGTACCAGCACGCTGGCGCACTGCAGCGCGCATGCCGTCCGGACAGTGATACAGGGCCCTGATGACGGCTGACGCAGCCAGGGACGACGCCCGCGGAACGGGCGGAATCGGAAATTGAACCTGAAGCCGGCCCCTCTCGCTCGCACCGCGGGTCGACACCTTAAAGGGACCCTCCCACCTTCAAAAATTGGCAAAAATTGGCAATTCAAATTGGCATGAAAGTGATGTCGCTCGGTTCAGAAAGAGCAAAAACGAATATCTACCAAATTTCACCGAAAAATATTCACCGGTTTTCAAGATATTAGACTTTTACTTTTGTTTACTTTTTTGGGATCTCCGCTGTTTCTAGCGACTTCGTTTTAGAAGTGCGGCGTTTGCGGCAGATGTTGCGCGCAAATAGCATATACCACCACTGCTTCACAAAGATGTAAGTATAAGGTTTCAAAATCGTTAGATCACCGCTGACGTCACAAATTCTAAGGGGGCATCTCAATGCATTAGCCCCTTAGAATCCGAAAACTGCAAGTTTGAAATTCCATATCAGTAGGTGGAACTATGGTCATGAGTACCCAAATATAGGAACGTTCCCATTTTTGGGAACGGAGTTCCCAAATATGGGAACGGGCGTTCCCATTTATGAGAACGGAAGGTAATTTTTCGGCCGTTCGCCCACGAAAACTCATTAGTGCATCACGTCTCAAAAAAGTGCACGCTAATTTAAGTATCTACTAAGTCTCTATAAATTATCTTTAATCTGACCGTTGAACAAGGAAATTGACCGTCGAATGATATTTTTAATGATTTTTTGAAATGACGGAATGGTGAAAACATGGGTTACACTACATTTAACATGCAATTTTAAGGAAAATGAAGCGTTTTTTACATTTTGAGGTCAAGTATAATAATTTTCGCCTGGTTATGAAGTTTCATACTAGCGACACCCGATGCTGACATATGCAAGCGAACACGCGGACAGTCCCGAGGTAATATTGTTGACATTTGGTGTCGAGGCGGACGACCGCGTAGAACGTGCGTGATTTTACCGAACTACTGTTGTAAACTCAGTTTAAGTGGTCGAAAATTATTCAGCTGTATTTTATCAGCCCGGAAAGACATTTTATTTGGATGCTAGCTGTTTAGCGTTGTTTTATAAGGAGCGTCATGAGCGTGGTTTTTGTCTTCCGTGTTTCTAAGCATGATCGTTTTGGGGGAATTTCTCTTATATAGATCGCTCTGTGTGGCTTATTTATAATTTCTATGCTGATTTCGATCATTCCTCGTGCCCATCCTACCAGGCCTTTTGCCACTTACACTCATTAAGAAAGGAAAAAACTAGATTTTCATTGGGACTAGGTGTTTTGAGGGTGTAACATATTCAGCGTTCCCATTTTTGGATACTTCCTTGTACTCGTCAACTATCTGTGATAAACAGACAGGTGCTTGACATGTCTCCACCCCCGGCACGGACGGTGGATATAGGTATGGAAGACCTTGTTGAACATCGCTGAGCGTTGTGAATTACGTAATCCTGCAGACGGGGGCGTGCCCGCTGCGAGATCGACGGGAATAAAAGCGCAGAAGACCGGGCGAAACATGCGACGGTCTTGCCGGAAAGGTCATCTGATGATTGTTGCGTTAACAATACTTTGCGGCGTTGGACGTGATGCTTGTTAATGAAAAGAGCCCCTGAAAGGCGTCGGTGAAATCGTTCCCAATTTTGGGTACGCCGTTCCCATAATAAGGAACGCTTGCAGCGCCAGTGTACGAGAGCGTTCCCAAATTTGGGCTCGCGGCCCGGATGATGGACTGCTTTAGAAATAGGGGAACGATTTGAAACTACGATGGGCCTTACAATATCAAACTCTTTCCCAACAATATTGAGACAAATATCAGGCGGTTCACGATCGTTTTATATTTTTTGGACGTCATTTAACGGTTCTTTTTCTTGTTTTAAATAATGCCTACATGGCGTTCCCATATTTGGGTTTATCGTTCCCAAACATGGGAACGAAAATGCGTTCCCGAAAATGGGTACGCTTGACCATAGTTCCGCCTACTGATATCTCCGAATTAAAGCATTTTTCGATGTTGTGAGTGCCCAAACCGGTATTTGCAGGCCATGGCCACCAATTTGGCTATCTCAACTCAAAACTAATGTTAAGGTGGGATGGTCACTGCGCCACCAGGGTGCCACCAGGGCCAGGGCATCTTTCAAATGATAGAGCACATCAGGTTGATGCGACTCTCGAGTCAAAAGTTATTGCAGAAAAAAAGAGTTTGCCAAGGCCCTATTATACACTGTCTTTGTCATCTGCATACTAAATTGTTTACTAGGCCAAATCTGAGGACATACGCCAGAAAGAGTGTAAAAGCATGGTAAAATGAAATGTCTGTGACAGGTAATTTGTCACCAAGTTAAAATTAACTAGTTACATCAAATGCCCAACATTTTGCTTGAACACTTGCAGTGGAAGGGTTCTGAGAACTATGCCCAGTAGAATAGCGAGGGACTCCCTCAGGGACAATATCTCAGCTCCCATGGAAGCCAAAAATACGAAATTTGGAGGATTGGTGCCATCTATTGTAACGATTAAGGAAAGGTCTTTGCTGCATTTACTTTCTCAACCCACCTAGTCCTAATTTCATCAAAGAAAGTTTTGCTGATTTTTACCATTATTTACAGAAAACGAATTTGAATTGACAAGAGGAAGACACATATGGGCCATTTTATGTATCTCAAGCTATGGATAAAGGAGGCATGCATGAAGCTTTAGAAAGTCACTGAGGTGTTAATTACCTCTCAGCAGTATTCTTGAATCATTGACGACTTTTTGTAATGAAGTGTAGCTGTGATACCTAGACCCGGAGTTTAATACTAGTTAGCCTTCTTGTCAAGAATGATTGAGCTCTGCTCTCGTCGCCGAATGATTGCAGCTATTATTGTACTCGTTTGGTGAGTTAAGTACAAACTTCAATAGTCTGGTGAGAAGATGCTGACAAGCACTTTGTATTCATGAGAAATGGCTTCGCTGAGTAATGTTATAATGCATCGAATGTTATAATACAGTGGAATCTTGACAGTCTACCTTAGTTGATTTTATCAGTTGAAATTAAAGACTAGATAGTTGCTGCATGTTACTATGTGCTCTCAACTAGTATCTAACAATAAATGAATTGATGGTTGTTAAAAGAAGTTGGAATGAATTTTGGAGTAAGTGCATTGTCTAATTCTATGTCCTGACTGTTGACAGTGTGAGCATCATCATTGTGCTGTTGGAGAACATCTTAACCCCGGACGGTGTGCACGGTCGGCGCGTAGCTGTCAGCTCAGAGGCTCCCCCGCCGCCTGCGCACAACCTGTCCTCGGCCCTGCCGGCGACAGCGCTGCCAGAGTCTGCGCCCAGCCAGCGGCACTGCTGGGAGAGTCAGACGTTCACAGTCGCTCGCCCCTGCCGCCGGTGTACGGGTCAGTAGTCGATGACATGTTTTTCTTTTTATGTGCATAGTGTCATTCCAGATGCTCATGAGCAGTGACCACCAAACATTTAGGTACCTAATTTATGCAATGCCATACCACTTTCTTTTTACCTTAATAATGCTTTTACGGTAGGTAGTTTAAATGCATAAAGTTGCTCAGCAGTTCACTCCATCAGTAAACTGACTGCTGAGAACATTACAACGCTTATTACCAGCCAGCTTATATTGAATGCTTAAACGTTTCTACTGTTCACTTGTCTTACCGCTACTACTAAAAATGGATCGTTTCAGGATTTGAGAAGGCTAGTGGAAGCGTCCCCGAATGCGCGCATAGCGATTACATCGAGCTGCTCAACTGTGAGAAGGACGGAAAGGTGTACAGAGGGTAAGCAACTTTCTTGGTTGAATACCTATCGTACCTATTGTTTTTGGTGCGCCGGAATGTTTGTCCTCACTTGGTATAGCATCAGATTATCGGAGCCGGTTGGTGATAGGATGTCTGGTCCGGTCTGTTCCGGCACCCGATACATACAGACCCCGACAGATGTTACATATAACATAATATCTGCTGCGATCGGTGAATGGTGAGCGCACCTTCAGCTAGTTGAACTCGATTAGTGGTACTAAAGCACTGGTTACTGTCATGGCTGGTTGTGTGAGCACATCTAACGTGTTGTCATCTAAACAATCAGTCGCCCGTATTGCAGTCGGGGCAATTGCTTTCATTCATCTGAACATATCAGTTTATAGGACACTTATTTGCTTCAACACATCGGTTCCAGTTCCTTTTTGTTTTATTTTTCTGGATTATTGTCAAGCGTTTGTATATGTTACAGGCAAAGTAAAAACTCGGGCATTTTGCAAAATGCCTAGGCAATTTGCAAAATGCCTGACCGGCCAGGCATTTTGCAAAATGCCCAGGCAGTTTGCAAACTGCCTGACCCACCAGGCATTTTGCAAACTGCCTGAAATATTTTCCCAGGCATTTTGCAAAATGCCTGACATCAAACTCGCACTAGCGACGATGTATAGGTAAGCATCATTTGTAACTGCTGCTTACAAAAATTAATCGCTGTCAATGCGCACCAAGCGAGGGGCCACTGCGTTCTCCGGGTAGCGCCGCCGAGTTCAGATCACTGAGCCCCAGCGGCCGTCGGGTGCCGAGCACCGGGCGTGGTTTTGTGGGTAAACATGCACTCGGTAAGTACAATGATTATACTGTTTCTAAGAGCTCTTGGTGGCTTTTTGAAAATACTATGGGTGGATATTGATCAGAAAAGAATACTCTTCCAATTTACGAAAATTTGATTGTTACACGTTTAGGTGCATTATCAATCGTCTCTGCCGGAACAGTTGCCCACCAGGGCAGAAGACTGGACATGGCAGCTTTTATACACACGGCTACAACTCCGTATATACGAAGGGTACGGAGACGGTGGCTCAAGTCCATTCAGCGTTGGCTCCATCTCGACAGAATTGACGCAAGACGTAGGTATACAGAGTGTCACGATCTTGATACGCGGTTGGCGCGGTCTTGTCCCTCCGTGCCCCTCCTGAGTGCTGAATGGATGTAATTTGAACGGGTCCGGCAACAGGGCATCTCGACCACGGCACTCGGCATCTTAATCGGCCATCCCCCGGTATCTGAAGATTTTACCCTGAAGCTGAAGCCGCTCAACCTCAGTCTGCAACCCTGACTTACCGTCATCCATAAGTGATGCAGCTGGACTTCGACAAACCCCACAAAATCTGGACCATTCAGGACTAGAGATTCAGACTTTTCAATGATGAGGCCGTGAGGCGATATTAGCCGTTTTCACGACGGCCATCTGGTACACATTTGGTTCACATCTGGTGCAGATTAGGTGCATATTTGGTCAAATTAGGTTCAGTGTGTCTCTTAGTAGCTATCAGCTAGGGTTGTACTAATTGTTTATATGCCTCCTTTGTCATATTATCAGAGAGCATCATCGGTTAAAACACTGAAATAAATTCATAAAATAAAGATATTCCCTGTAAAAGAGATTAGGTGCAGATTTGGTCAAATTAGGTGCACTCGCCGGATAGCCCGTCGTGCAAACGGCTATTAGAGCTCTTCTTAGTCACTAACCGTCTCGACAAGCAGTTCTGGGCCAACAGCAGCTCAGAGGCGCTGCAACGTCGAGACGGTGAAACACCCACTGGGCACTGGGATTCTCGTTTGGGGCATGATGGGCTACAGAGGCCTATTTGAGCTTCACCAGGTGCCGCCGGGACAGACCATGTGGCCGCTGATAGCTTGTCAGCGAGGTGCTGGAGAACAATGACGCAACTACGATGCAATACATTTCGGGACACAAGTACAACATCCCGCAACAATTTCGTGACACCCTGTATTCGTGACCGTGGAATGTGTCACATGTGCCCACAACGCATGTGAAATGTGTTGTGGGGTCAGTCGCAGTGGAACGTTTATGATCAACGCCTGTAGTCAACAAAAACGGTGGAATATATGGAAACCCAGGCATTTTGCAAAATGCCTGGCGGGTCAGGCATTTTGTGAAATGCCTAGGCAGTTTGCAAAATGCCTGGTGGGTCAGGCAGTTTGCAAACTGCCTGGGCATTTTGCAAAATGCCTGGCGGGTCAGGCATTTTGCAAATTGCCTAGGCATTTTGCAAAATGCCCGAGTTTTCACTTTGCCTGTAACATATACATTGAATATATTCACCTACAATGATTCTCCATCTTTGGGCATCGATGAGCGTAAGCGTCTGTTCAGCAGACTGAGTGAAAAAATTCGAATAGTTATGTGACGGTTCAGATCTGTCCGCAGCACGCTGAGAAAGGTTTGTTTCTTAAACGATGTGGTACCATCCCTTTGAAGCATTTTGACCCATTCTAACAAAAGAGGATTAATATCGGACCGTTCATGACTTACATTACCGAGCTTCAACACTGGTACCGTTCTCGGTTCAGCACTGCCATTTTCTGGTCGTTCGGGTTAATCGTCCTTTTGTGTTGTGCTTGAAAACATTTTGATTATTTTCTTTTCAGGAGACTGACTTATCGTACCACTAGTCTGTACCTACTCTTTAGTATTGTGGTAGAGCCGCTTCCACAATACACAATAACTCTGACTAACAGATGTAGGTACACTGCTGCAAATTAATTGCTAACAACCAGTAAAACGCCTTTTGGGCGAAGAACGAGCGAGCGAGATAGTGAGCCCTGCACGTGCGGAAGGGCGAGAGGGTGCTTCCAACGGGCTTGCGCAAAGCACCCTTCTAACCGGTCGCTAGCGGTGTGCCAAATTTGAACGCAATCGGCCCAGCCGTTCCTGAGATCTGGAAGCGGCATTCTGCACGTGCAAACGGGGTCCAAAATGACTTTTGCACGGCACCCTACTAACTGGTCCCCAACCGTGTACCAAATTTGAGCGCAATCGGCCCAGCCGTTCTCGAGATCTGGAAACGCCCCCTGCACGTGCGCACGTGCAGTAGCACCCTAACCGCAACACATGGGAATGCATTGCCTGGTGGGTGCCTACCTGTATGCCAAGTTTCAGCGAAATCGCCCCAGTAATTACCGAGTTACTGAAATGGGAACAAATTTGGCACCTCTTATTGTTGTATTTTGCACGTGCACTGGGGGTGACCCACATGCTTCGAGAGTATCCTATTTTGGGTAGAAGGGATGCTGCTACCCTACAAAAATTACCGGAAGTCAATCGCCCAAGCGGCTGCTGAGATATGAGCCTCTCAAAATCACTACTTTTGCAAAACAGCTTAAACACCCTTGACTTTTCACGTGGCACGTGCCACGACGGTCACTGAGATGTATCAAAAGTAGTCAATTACGGGGTAGAAGGGATTGGGCTACCCAACAAAAAAGACCGCAGGCCAATCGGTCCAGCGGTTGCTGAGATATAAGCCTCTCAAAAGCGTTACAGGCCGGGCCGGGCCGGGCCGCTCATACTGAGATTTTTCCGTTATATTGAAAAGACTCACTTCGCTCGCTGCGCTCGCTCGCTCGTAATAACGGGAAAATCTCAGTATGAGCGGCCCGGCCCGGCCCGGCCCGGCCTGTAACGCTTTTGAGAGGCTTATATCTCAGCAACCGCTGGACCGATTGGCCTGCGGTCTTTTTTGTTGGGTAGCCCCATCCCTTCTACCCCGTAATTGACTACTTTTGATACATCTCAGTGACCGTCGTGGCACGTGCCACGTGGAAAGTCAAGGGTGTTCAAGCTGTTTTGCAAAAGTAGTGATTTTGAGAGGCTCATATCTCAGCAGCCGCTTGGGCGATTGACTTGCGGTAATTTTTGTAGGGTACCAGCATCCCTTCTACCCAAAATAGGATACTCTCGATGCATGTGGGTCACCCCCAGTGCACGTGCAAAATACAACAATAAGAGGTGCCAAATTTGTTCCCATTTCAGTAACTCGGTAATTACTGGGGCGATTTCGCTGAAACTTGGCATACAGGTAGGCACCCACCAGGCAATGCATTCCCATGTGTTGCGGTTAGGGTGCTACTGCACGTGCGCACGTGCAGGGGGCGTTTCCAGATCTCGAGAACGGCTGGGCCGATTGCGCTCAAATTTGGTACACGGTTGGGGACCAGTTAGTAGGGTGCCGTGCCAAAGTCATTTTGGACCCCGTTTGCACGTGCGCACGTGCAGAATGCCGCTTACAGATATCAGGAACGGCTGGGCCGATTGCGTTCAAATTTGGCACACCGCTAGCGACCGGTTAGAAGGGTGCTTTGCGCAAGCCCGTTGGAAGCACCCTCTCGCCCTTCCGCACGTGCAGGGCTCACTATCTCGCTCGCTCGTTCTTCGCCCAAAAGGCGTTTTACTGGTATTGAAAAGACTCACTTCGCTCGCTGCGCTCGCTCGCTCGTAATAAGTGCGTTTTTCAGCGACATGCGTTGTTCTGCTTTCCGCAATCTATAGCCATAGGTAATTACGAGCGAGCGAGCGCAGCGAGCGAAGCGAGTCTTTTCAATATAACGGAAAAATCTCAGTATGAGCGGCCCGGCTCGGCCTGTAACGCTTTTGAGAGGCTTATATCTCAGCAACCGCTGGACCGATTGGCCTGCGGTCTTTTTTGCTGGGTAGCCCCATCCCTTCTACCCGGTTATTGACTACTTTTGATACATCTCAGTGACCGTCGTGGCACGTGCCACGTGAAAAGTCAAGGGTGTTCAAGCTGTTTTGCAAAAGAAGTGATTTTGAGAGGCTCATATCTCAGCAGCCGCTTGGGCGATTGACTTGCGGTAATTTTTGTAGGGTAGCAGCATCCCTTCTACCAAAAATAGGATACTCTCGAGACATGTGCGTCACCCCCAGTGCACGTGCAAAATACAACAATAAGAGGTGTCAAATTTGTTCCCATTTTAATAACTCTGTAATTACTGGGGCGATTTCGCTGAAACTTGGCATACAGGTAGGCACCCACCAGGCAATGCATTCCCATGTGTTGCGGTTAAGGTGCTACTGCACGTGCGCACGTGCAGGGGGCGCTTCCAGATCTCGAGAACGGCTGGGCCGATTGCGCTCAAATTTGGTACACGGTTGGGGACCAGTTAGTAGGGTGCCGTGCAAAAGTCAGTTTGGACCCCGTTTGCACGTGCGCACGTGCATAATGCCGCTTCCAGATCTCAGGAACGGCTGGGCCGATTGCGTTCCAATTTGGTACACCGCTAGCGACCGGTTAGAAGGGTGCTTTGCGCAAGCCCGTTGGAGGTACCCTCTCGCCCTTCCGCACGTGCAGGGCTCATTATCTCGCTCGCTCGTTCTTCGCCCAAAAGGCGTTTTACTGGTATTATGTCTATTGTGTAACTATGGCGACTAACCGCTAAGAGTACCGGCCAGTGACAGTTGTCTATGTGTTGTGCGCTGGCGTGCAGGTGTGGCGGCGCGCGGGACCGGGGTCAGCGCCAGTTCTGGCTGCTCGAGCTCATCTCACTGTGCTCGGCGCTGGTGTCGGGCGGAGCGGTGATCGTCCGGCAGCGGCAGCTGGAGCGCACCGCCCTCGGCAAGATCCAGCGTCAGCTGGCCGCTCAGGTGTAGCGCCATGGCCACAGGGTATGTGTGGGTGTAACGTCATGGCCACAGGGTATGTGTGGGTGTAACGTCATGGCCACAGGGTGGGTTTGGCTCCGACGCGAACTGTAAAACTCGCCTTGAAATTTGCTCATTGCCTTACTGGCCGAGTTATTGGTTATCTCGTTGTCATAATGCCTGGGCTTTGTGGACTTCTCAGATTTTTTCTCAAGCCTATGCTAAGACATGGAAACGGTAGTTTGCTAGCTAACTAGCTGGCATATTAAGGGTGCGTTTCACGCGACCTTTACACCACCTGGCGAGGATCTTGCCGACATAGAGATACGTTTCTAGACCAGTAGATGGCTCTAGCGCTGAACGCCGGTTTGTTGTCATAGGACAAGTATCACATTTCCCCTGTCCATCCATCTGTTAGCGCAGAGGGGTTCGACTGCCGGGCCGCCCCTCCCCATCCGCGCCCCGCTAGTTCGGGGAGGAGTGGCACGGGTCCGCCGCGCCGGTCAGGCCGGGCGGAAAGGACCAGATGTCAGGCACTCAGTCGAACTACATTGGGCCGAACCCGCGCCGACACACACGGATAGGGAAAGACCGGAATAATGAAAGAGCTAACAGAATGAGGTACAGGAAAGCAGCTTCAGTCACATTCATAGTGTTAGCTTCATTAATCCTCGCTTGGGGAAGTGGGGCGTTTTTTGGTCAAACTTGCAAGTTTTCGTTTGCCCGTATAAGCGCCGCGAAACTTGGCATAGCTTACTGATCTCAGGCAGCTTTTGCCAAATTGTCAGGGAACTCAGATTTGTTTTTCAATAGAAAAACACAATTCTAAAGAATAGTGTTTTAACTATTGACAACAAACCTTCGGTTATCATGCATTAATTTCTCATCGTGTGTGAAATTGTGGAACCCCGGTCTCAAAGGTTTAGGTCACCCAGTTCAAGTATATCCTAGATGTTCGAAACTCGGGTTATTGCATGAGCTATCAGCATGAGCTACACTGTATAGTGCCGGACTATCGCATCAGAATTCAGAAGGCACAGAAGAATATGCTTTATAAAACATTTTTTTTTTGCAATTTTGTCACCTCTTCAGAGCTACAGTAGATGCCTGAGTCCTTTGAAAGTTGCAGTGCACGATGCAATAAGGCCATTGGTAGCTACAACTTGTATGTCTCGGAATCTTATAAGTTCATCCGTACTTCAATCCCCCAAGAATTCGTTCGGGTCGGAGCTTTCGAATTTTATCACAAAACTTCGTCAGCGTGTGGTAATCGGGTTTGGGGGTATCGGTCGCAAAGTTGAGGACGTTTTGCGACCGATTTGATTCCCCGTGATGAGGTACAGGTCTCGCGAGATTAAGCGGTAGGTTTTGCACTTTTACATTTCCGGTTATATCTCAGAAACTAATCGATCTACGATGAAGCCATTTTACACGATCATGGCCGGCTTGTTACCCAACAAGTCGATCGCATCTTCAACACTTAAAAGCTTAAGACGACGAAGATATAGCCTGAAGTACACTAAATTTTCTAGGTGCAAAACCTACCGTTAAAACCCGCGAGACCTGTACATCGAAATAGGTACCCTTTTTATGCAAAAGTATCAACTTCGAAATTTGACCTTTTTTACCAGACCTTGACCTAACCTCCACCAGAAAGCAGCCTAAATCGTCCCTCATGGTCGTCTAACTAAAACCACTTAGTTGGAAATGAAAAATTGGTCGCAAAACATGAATCACACGGTCCTAGTTAAGTTGGATTCATGTGTTGACCCTTGGTGACCTGACCTCTGTGACCTGACCTGGTATCAGTGACGTCTTTTAGCAACATCTGTACTAGGCAACCGACGCTTTATCGATGATTTTCGATAAGATACCTTTTAATCAATGTTATTGTTGTGATGCGTGCTACTGAGCCGGCACGAACTATGCCGGCGCAGTCAGCTGACAGCTGTTGCCAGCCGCCGCGGCGCCGGCCGCCGCCTGATGGTAGGCTGTGCCGCCCGGCAGCTTCCGGCGTCCTTGAGTAAAGAGTATTGTTGTGCAGTCGTCAGCCGGACTCAATACAGTTCACATCGGGAGTGCGCGTGTGCGTCTGGGGCGGCGGAATCGCGACGATAATTAATTTGCTATCGAACCATTATTAACGTAGACTGAAATGTAAAACCATAACATGGCGCGATCGGTATAATTTACTTTTTATCGTTAAATATAGCATTTTTTCGTCGGTTTTCGCGCGCGTTTCTCGCAATGACGGAGGAAGGCAAGCCGGTAGACCTGGGAGCCCTCACCCAACTCCTCGCCCAGCAACTGGAGCTGGCTCAAGAAGCTCAGCGACAAAGCCAGCAGCGGGAGGAGCGTATGGTGGCCGTAATGGAACGGATATGGGCCGGGCCGGCGGCAGGGGCCGGCGCTGCAGCCGCGGCGGCTACTGCAGCGGCCACCCCAGCCGATACGAACGCAGCCGTCAATCTACCGCCCAGACTGCCGGCATCAGCGACTCCCGCTCCACAGCTGTCGTCATCGGCGTCACTGAAGGAGTTTGAATCCTGGCGACAGAAATTTCACGGCTACAGTCTGCTGACTGGCGTCAACAGGCTAGCCCAGCCCGAGCAGAAGGCAGCCCTACTCGCTCTGCTTGATGATGATTGGACCAGGGTGGTCAGGTACGGCCTGCCGATCCCCGAAGACGCTGACATGAGCACCATCATCACGGCGATGCAGACGCATCTGCGCCGCCAGCGTAACGTCATCATTGATCGCCGAGATTTTTACACGCGAGCACAGGAGCCCGGTGAGACCGTGGACGATTTTCTCTGTGGATTGAAAGAGATTGCATCGTTCTGTGATTTCTGTCACCACTGCCAGGACAACAGGTTCAGAGATCGAGTCGTTGTCGGCACGCGAGACGAAGAAGCACGCCGCAGAATGCTGGAAGAGCCGGATCTCACGCTTCAGAAGGCAGTGGATATCGCCCGAGCGTCAGAGAATGCCGCCTCCAACAGCTCAGCCATCCGTGAACCAGCTGGCTCGACTCTGGCGAGGGTCTCTCAGTACCAGCGCAGCCGCGGTCGCCCGAGAGACCGGTCGGCTGAGAAGACGTGCCCCCGCTGCGGTGGTGAAGCTCACCGTAGCGCCGGCGACTGCAGGGCCGTCAAGAGGACCTGCCGAGCTTGTGGCAAGGTAGGCCACTTCGCGTCTGTCTGCCGCGGTCGCAGCGCTAGTCGCTCGCGCGCTCCCGCGGCGAGCACAGACCGGACCCAGCGGAGGTCCGATGGAGGCAGACGTGTGTCGCTCGTCACAATGAAGACGCGAGCGGCATCTGCACCTGCTAGACAGACAGTGGACCAGCAGCACCGAGACTGCATGATCCAAGGCCTGCACACGACGCGTGCTCCGCAGATCCAGATTCTGCTGCATCGGAGTGACGGTCGCAGGCAACAAACGACATGGACGCCAGATACAGGCGCTGAGGTGTCTGTAATCTCTCAGGAGGCAGCGAAGCAGATGGGCATCAACGTCAAGAAGCTGACGCCGCCCTCTGGAAGCCTGTTCGCAGCGGACGGACGAGAACTGCCCTGCCTGGGAGCGTGCCAAGTCGCACTGCAGCTGGGAAGCATCAAGAGGACGATAGCCGTCTCTGTGGTGAAGAAGCTGCACAGCTCGCTGCTGTCGTGGCACGACGCTGTTCGACTGGGAATACTGCACAAGGAGTTCCCACAGCAGATCCGTTCTGCCATCTCAGACGAAGAGGAGACCTCCAGAGCAGCTCCAGCAGTCTGCTCCCTGAAGACCATGCCAGGGAAGAGCAAGATACCCCGCAGAGTGGTCAAACGAGGCTCTGCTCCTGCACTTGAAGACGCCGGGAAGGCGCAGAAGGTGCACCCGCTGAAGCCGACGTGGGATGAAAGCAAAGGCGTGCCATCGGCTGAAGAACGACGGAAGCACTTCTCAGCGATGAAGGAAGCCTTCCCACGAGTGTTTGACGTCACCTCGAAGCTGCGCAAGATGTCCGGAGGCTCAATGGCCATCGAGTTGACTGAAGACGCCACACCAGTTGCCGTCTCCACAGCTCGCAGTGTACCGTTCTGCTGGCGTGACGACATTCGGCGCCAGCTGGATGAGCTGCTGGAGAGTGACGTGATCGAGCCGGTGGAGCATCCGACCGAGTGGTGCCACCCCATCGTGCCGGTGGCAAAGCGGTCGCCGGACGGCACGGTCTCTAGCTGCCGTCTGACGGTCGACCTCACCAAGCTGAACCGATTCGTCAAGAGGCCAGCGTACCCAGTCAGGTCGCCGCACGACGCTGTGGCCTCGATCGGCAGCGGTGCAAACTTCTACACGAAGCTGGATAGCAAGTCTGGCTACCACCAGATCCCCATTCGCGAGGAGGACCAGGACAAAACGTGCTTCATCACGCCATGGGGCCGTTTCCGCTACAAACGTGCCGTCATGGGTCTGATCTCGTCAGGTGACGAGTACAACCGAAGAGGCGACGCTGCTCTCGGTGACATTCCTCAGACATGCAAAGTCGTAGACGACATTCTGGCGTACGACTCGAGCTACTCAGCTCACCTGGAGCACGTGTGGAACATCCTACAGAGATGTGATGACCACGGGATGACTCTGAACCCAGACAAGTGCTCCTTCGCCGGGAATGAGGTGGAGTTCTGCGGATTCAAGATCGACCAGACAGGCTACACCGCAGACAACAAGAAGGTGCGAGCCATCGCGGAGTTTCCGCAGCCGGCGTGCCTCACGGACCTCAGATCGTTTCTCGGTCTCGTGAACCAGCTGGGTGACTTCTCACCAGACGTCTCGGCCGCCGCCGAGCCTCTGAGACACCTCCTGCGACCGAAGAACGAGTGGGTGTGGACGCCGCTGCACTCCAAAGCCTTCAGTGATGTGAAGAAGGCGCTGGTCTCGCCACCAGTCCTCGACTTCTTTGACCCGCGGCGCCGGACAGTCCTGGAGACCGACGCCGCACGCCTGCGAGGGCTGGGTTTCTGTCT